TACTAATAAAGCGAAAATAAGGTTTATTATAGAATTTCATAAGTATTAATTAGGCAAAATTAGAGATGGATTCTGTGCGTGCGCATGATTCTGAATCATGTACATTAATATGCATGTTTCTGAATTATGCGTACTTTATCCCATCAAAATTTTTTTTATTTTTTAATCATGCGCGTATTAATGCATATGATTCAAAAAAATGCATAAAATATACATTCATGCGCATGATTCTGAATCATGCGTATTTTATCCTATCTCTAGGCGAAAATTTTATTATGTACCTTTGATTCTGTGTATAACCAAGGTGTTATATCATGAGCACCAGCAGCACGAAACATTGATCACCATACATTTAGTTCTCGGTTACTAAACTGATAGTCTTTTGGATATAGCGGAATAAGCGCAGAATTTAGCTTAATGATATTACTTTCTTGCGCTAACCAAGTAATAAAAAGATTGTACCAGCTAATATTAGAAAGTGTTCTTCGTTTTACATAATAATCATATAGAGTTTTGATAAAAGAAAAATCTTCCCATTGATTTGGTGTACAAGTAGGAATTCGGTGTTGTTTTATTAATCGTTGAGTAATAACATAGTCAAAACCAAAAAGTTGGATGCCATTGTATTTATTAATACTAAAATTTTCCCAAACATCATTCGGGGATATTTCCTCTACCGACTTCTTTAATTGTGAATCTTGATAAACTTTGACCTTACATATATCATCCTCTATAAATGAAATATATAGCCCTTGTTTTTTACTATATATATAAATTAACAATGATTGATAACCTGAACCGCCTTTACTCCAATCTTCTTGAGAAGATGACCCAATCCCAAAAACAAAAATCTTAAGTTGGCCCAAATTAAAAAAAAAAGGAAAAAAAGGAACGTCAGCTAATAGTTGCGAAACAATATCACGATCTGTCCATCCTATAATAAGCGGACCCGAATAATGGGTTTTAGTATTGAAAATACGAGTATAAATTGAAGAAATTGCAGTACTAGGATCGTGAACTGGAGTTTCAGTGTAAAGGGTATCACTTTGACAATTATAACCAGGAAGATAGGGATTGTTAGAATAACCAACTGCTATAGTAATAATAAACTTGCAATCATTAAGAATAACTTTCGTTTTTTGTCCAATATGAATAGGAAAGTATGTTATATCTTTATTGTCAAAAACCTTATTTGTTTTCCACCAAAAACGGGAATACGGCCCATAATGTAAAGCTTCATCCAAAGCACCTAGCTCAAATAAAGTAACCTGGGCTTGACGGATTCTTTTTGCCATTTTGTACTTAAGTTTCAGATTCCCGCGCTATAATGAAATTTATTATATCGATTATCCCCAATTTTTCTAACAATAATCACGTGATTAGTGCCGATCATAACCGAATCAGCAA